TGGTATAATTGAGTCTTTTTCTCTTTGTTTTTTTGGTAATTCAAAGATGTGTTCTGATGAAGGAGTTGGGGACGGTGTAGAATACTTAGGAACTGTGCGTTTCTGAGTGTTCTTTTGTGGTATTTGATCTGTTTCTATTTATTAGTTAGGAGTTTTTTGCTTGGTGTTTCATGTTGCACAGTTTGTTCGTTGAGTTGGGTTTGCTTTTGTTGGATGGTAATAGTTACTTCTTTAGTCACCTGATTGTTACTATTTTCCATATAGTTCCAATAATTGTTAAAATTTAAATGGTTGCAAAAAACAATTAAAAACAATTTAAAGATTTAGCTAAAACTACGTGAACTTACCGCTAATTATCATGGTATACACTACTTTACAAAACAACGAACAAAACGAATTTAATGAGTACATCGGTTCACGGTGGGGTTGCGTCTGTCTCTCTTAACGACTCAAGCTCTTGTCTTTACGATATGTATTCCCGAGTCTCAGCGGTACTATAGGGATCGTAGGAATTACAGGGAGGACAAATGTATTGATTAATTTATACAACCATATTTGAATTTAAACTTTAAGAGACACTTTTTACTGTTTGTATTTTGTACTTATATTAACATTTCTATTACATTGACCATTTTTTAGGTATCCCACTCGACAATAATTTATATAGATCAACTAATTCCAATCTGGAAAGCAATCGTGAATTCCTGGGTTGAATTTCTGGGTCTAAAACATGAAATAAAAAATTTTATGCAGGTAGAATTAACAGTCGATGTTCAAATAGAGAATGTTGTGAAGCTGGGAGAAAAAGTCTGTCTAGTTGAGCTTGAAAAGGAAGAGGTCAAAAGAAAAGTCATGCGAAACAAAAGCAAATTAAGAAACCGAAGAAAAGTCTAGTTTATATTAATGAAGAACTGTCAAAGAAGGACAGAATTGTACAGAAATATGTCAGACCTAAAGCGCAAGAACTAAGAAAAGAAGAGAGAAAAGTAAAAGTAGGATATAAGAAAATATATTCCTATCAGGAAATATGGCGCTGGGATGGCATGAACCAAACGTTGGTGGAAGAGACCAAAGCAAAAAACTAAGCAACAGCATGAAAAGGAAAGTAATGAAGTGAACAATGCAAAGAAAAGGATTACGAACTATGAAACCGAAACAAAACAAGTCAGTAATACAAAGGTAAAGCCCAAGAATGACAAGATACATTTAGCTACATGGAATGTAAGAGGAACCTTTTATGAAGGTGCGCTAAAAGAACTAATTAATGAGGAAGGAAGTATAAAATCGATTTAATGGCTCTTCAAGAGACAAAACAATTAGGATCGGAAATAACTGATATGGAAGATATGGTGCTCTTCAAAAATGGAGGTAAAGATAGAATGCTTGGAACTGGTTTTTTAGTAGCTGAATGTATCAAGGACAAAGTGATAGCTTTTAATCCTATCTATGATAGGATATGTTCAATACGAATTAAAAGTAAGAAAAGGAATTGGAGTATAATCAATATTCATGCACCGTCAGAAGACGAAATAAAAGATCTTTACTATGAACAGCTAAATGATGAATACGAGCGCTTACCTAAACGTAATGTAAAAATAATAATGGGAGATTGTAATGCTAAAGTGGGAAAAGAACCTCTGTTCACTGCAGTAACTGGAAACTACAGTAAACACGATGTAACAAAGGATAATGGTCAAAGACTTATTGGATTTGCCATGGAGAAAAACATGGTGGTGAGAAGCACGAAACTAAAAGGAAAAGAGATATACAAAGGTACGTGGGTCTCTCCAGATGGAAGGATGGTGAATCAAATAGATCATGTTATAATTAAAAGTAAATATATGAATAACGTTTAGAAGGTAAGAAGTATGAGAGGAGCTGAAATCGACTCGGACCATTACCTCGTTAAAGTCACATGTGGGAGAAGGCTGAACGATAAAGAGAAATCGAACAATAAAACGAAGAGAAAGTACAATATTGAAAAACTTAAGGAAGTAGAAATAAAAAATAAATATGAAGAAGAAATAAATAAAATTCTAGAACAATGTGATCAAAATTTATAGACAGATCAAGTCTGGGAACAAATCAAATCTGCCGTAGGAGAAGCTAGCGAGAAAATAGTTAAGTTCGACTCCAATAGAAGTACACACAAAGATTGGTTTGACAAAGAGTCTTAGGCGATAGCAAAGGAAAAGAACAAGATCAGACGACAAATATTAACAGCTAATAGAAAGTGTAAAAAAACAAGAATATAGAATAATTCAAGGAAGATTGAAAGCTCTGTGTAGAAGGAAAAAGAGATACCACAATAAGTTAAAATTAAAAGAGATAGAAGAGAAGTTTAAAAATAAAGAGGTGAGGTCGTTCTATCAAGAAGTTAAAAAGTTGGGAAAAGGTTACCAAAGCCTCTGTAGTTATACGAGAGGTAAAGACGGAAATTTAGCGATCCGGCAGAAATAATGACGGGATGGAAAAAACATTTTGAAGAATTATTAAATGGTGAGGTGGACCACGAAGCAATAGACAACTGGACGGTTGGAGAAGATGCAATAGTTAAAAGGCAGCCTACAGAGGGGGAGGTGGTGACAGCAATACAAGAAATTAAAAATAACAGAAGTCCTGGTAAAAATGACATATGCATAGAAATGATCAAGTTTGGTGGAGAACAACTACAAAGAAAAATATATCAGCTACTAGTGCAAGTATGGGAAAAGGCAATAATGCCATCGGAGTGGTATGAGGCCCGCATATGCCCTCTGCATAAAAAAGGAGACAAACTTAAGTGAGCCAACTATAGAGGTATAGCCTTATTAGACACGGTATATAAAATCTTGGCAAGAATATTGAGAAATAAACTAAATTGCTACACGGAAAGAATCCTGCATGAATATAAGGCCGGCTTTAGAAAGGACAGATTTACTATAGACCAAATCTTCTCATTAAAGGAGATACAAACGACTTCTGGCTCGAGGAGATAAGAATACGGCCGGGGCCAGAGGACCCTGCCTGTCGGAATAGGCGACTAATGGGCAGATATGAGAGGTAGAGAGCCGGCGTTTAAGGTGTCAGGTTGGTAAAAACGTACAGAGATGCTTAGTCATCTCAGTCACCGGTCTACATTCCCATTATCCGAGACTAACGTCTCGTCGGACCACTCTACTCTTATTTTTCACAAGAGCCATGTGAGGATGAACGAGCCGGGTACGTAAATACCTCCCAAAGCCGACACCGTGGAGGGTGGTGTGGTTTGACTTGGCACGTACCCATCGTGGAATGATTTACGAATGGTAGAAGAGTGATTCCTCGGCGGCGACCAGTCTTCGTGCGAGGTGGCATTCCACCACCTGCATGCGTTTCCGCCTCCGGGGGGGGGGACTCACGGAAGGGTGGCGTGACCCGCAACACAGGTACTACGGGGGAGGTGGAGCCCCACGATATTTCGGCATCGTGCTAACTCCAATCGGTGTCGGACTCGTAGGGGCAAGTGGTATGCGCTGTGGGCCGTATGCCGAGAGGCCAGGAAGACCAGGGTCTTGCCAATTCATTTTGGAGGGCACAAAGCATTGCAATGTAGACCAAATCTTCTCATTAAAGAAGATAAAAACGACTTATTATGAAGGTAAAGTTTCCCTGCATGTTTGTTTGTGGATTTTAGACAAGTATATGATCGATGTGCTTGTCTAAAAGCGACAAGCGATGAGTCGATAAAGTCAAAATGTATCGAACAATGGAACATTTGGGTATACCAAAGAAACTGATCCGACTAGTTAAAATGACACTAAATAACTTTACGTGTGAAATTGCTTGGCAGGGTCACATATCAGATCAATTTACGGTTGCAAAAGGCTTTATACAGGGAGATCCTTTAACCACTACATTATTCAACTTAGTGTTAGAAACTATAATCAGAAAATGCAGCATGAAGGTGGAAGAAACGATCATGAAAAATGAGCACCAGTGCTTGGCATTTGCTGACGATCTAACGATCCTAGCAAAAACCGAGAAAGAATGAAGAAGGGTTGTGAAGAAAATCATCGAAGAAGCACAGAAATTCGGATTGGAACTAAATGAAGATAAAACCAAATATATGATCATGGAAGGACAGAAGGGAAAAAAGAAGACTTTAGTGTGAGGTCTGTAAGTGATAAAAGCTATAGTTTTAAAAGGGTGGACAAATTTGAATACCTGGGTGTAGTTTTCGATGAAAATGGAAAAGCGAAATGGGAGCTCGAAGCCAGAATAGCAAAAGTGAATAAAAAATTAGGTAGTTTAAGAGCCCTACTGAACTCAAAATACGTTTCTAGACAAGGTAAACTCAGAATATATAAAACAGTAATTCGACCCACAGTAACATAAATGCAGTTGAGACATGGACATTAAATGAGAAGGAAGAGGATACTCTGGAAAGATGGGAAAGAAAAATATTGAGACGCATATTCTGAGGACGGAAGACAGAAGATGGTTGGGAGATAAGAACCAATAACGAATTAATGGCTTTATACAAAGAACCTACCATTACCAAGTTCGTCAAGGCACAAAGAATCAGATGGTTGAGACATGTGGAAAGAATGGCAGCAAACAGAATGCCTAAACTAGTAAAAACCAGAAAATTAATTGGCCCCAAAAGACGAGGTAGACCCAGAACGAGGTGGACTAGTAAAGTGGAGGAAGACCTTAAACATGTGAAGGTGAGGGACTGGAAAAGAAAAGTACAAAATAGAAGCGAATGGAAAAATATTGTACATCAGGTCCTTCAGAGTAGTTAAGAATGTATATACATATTTAAGTTAACGTTTTGTTTAAAATATTTGTAATTAGTTAATATTAGGATTATGTTGTAAAAAAATGCCCTAGGCCTTAATGGCCTGTTGTGCGTAAAAATAAATAAATATTTGAATTTAAACACCACCTAATCAAATACAAGAACTTTAAGAGACACTTTTTTACTGTTTGTATTTTATACTTTTATTAACATTTCTATTACATTGACCATTTTTTAGGTATCCCACTCGACAATTGTTTATATAGATGAACTAATTCCAATCTGGAAAGCAATCGTGAATTCCTGGGTTGCATCGTGTACTTCAGACTGGATTCATGGATTTCAACAGCAAATTAGTGACATATGTTGCTGGGTAGTTCCCCCATGTCTCGAATTTTTCCACAAGTATTGCCATCAGCTTTGTCAACTCAGTGAAATTAATTTAGTTAAAAATATGTTAGCTATCACACAACTTTTTTTAGATGATGTATGCTCGGTAAACAAAAAAGAAGATGACTTGAAGAATCTCTCAACCTGGATTCAAGCAACAATTATCCAAGCTGGAATTATCGGTTTAGGTGCGTTGCTAGACACGCCATCCAGACAAAAATTTGACGAATTTTATAAGCAACTCTGGAGAGGACAAAATCAGGCACATCCTTATCCAAGTTCATTTGGAAAGTTAGAAGTAAGCCTTCCTCACGACGGTCTACTTACTGAATATCAATATATTTACAAACAAAGAGGTAATTGGAAAGTATATCAAGACTTACTTAAAAGTGAAAAGATTATAGAAAATTCATATATGTATGATTTTTTGGTACCAACTGCAGACACACTCCGTTATTCTTACATTCTAACTCTTTATCTTAAAAACAAACTACCAATTTTATTTCTTGGACCAAATTGTACGGGTAAAAGCATATTAATAGAAGACACTTTACGAAATAAATTTAATGGAAAAAATTTTGAAGTATCTCATATAAATTTCAATACATATTTTGATGCACAAACGACACAAAAGTTAATTTTGTCTAAAACAAATAAAAGAAAAGAGGGAATGTATTATCCCCCAAAGGGAAAGAAATATATTATTTTTATTGATGACCTGAATTGTGTTTCTTCTGACAAATATGGCAATTTGAACTGTATAGAATTACTACGTCAATATCTGGACCATAATGTATGGTACGATTTTAGAAATTTTTGTAAAATAATTTTGAAAGACGCTAACTTAGTAACGGCAATGAGTTTGCCAGACTCCAATTATACACCTAAATTAAGATTTTTACGGCATTTTTATGTATTCGGAATAAACGAATTTTCGGATGAAACAGTAACAAGAATATTTAGCAATACTATGTTGCATATATGGCGTCAAAACGGTTTTCCTAGTGATATAGGGAACATTGTCGGTCAAATAATTGATGCTACATTCGGTATTTACAAAAAGGTTTTGACGCATTATCAACCGACTCTAACTCGCAGTTACTACCATTTTAATTTAAATGAGTTTTCAAGCGTGATAAAAGGTTGTACTCTTCTGAAAAAAGAGACGTATGATGGAAATAAAAAGATATACATTAAGCTCTGGATTCATGAAATCTTTAGAGTATTTGGAGACAGATTAACCAATCTAGAAAATAACATTTTGGATACTGAAATAAAGAAAGTTCTTGATGCACATTTTAACGAATCACTTGAAGAAATAGTCGATACAAATGTCAACAAAATAGTGCTTAGTACTATAAATGATAAAGATCATTTTAAATATGAAGAAATTGTTGATTCTAAAGTGATCATTGACTTACTACAAGATGAGTTAAACAAATACAATTCTAATAATAAAAGAAAACTTAACATAGTATTTTTTGAATATGCTTTAGAAAAGATATTTAAAATCTCTCGGATATTATCTTTAACTCCAGGCAATGCTATATTTTTGGGATCAAATGGATTAGGTAGGTCTATATTGACTAAATTAGTCTCGTATATATATAGCTACATATGTTTTCAACCTACAATTACACAAAATTATACTATAGAACACTGGAAATGTGAATTAAAACATGTTTTAAAAGAAACTGGCGCTATTGAGCATAAGAGTGTTTTTATTGTAAACGAAAGAGATTTATTAGAAGAAGCGTATCTACAGTATATTGAAATGTTACTTCAAAACGGTGATATATCAGATATATTTAATTTAGAAGAAAAACAGGAAATTTTAGAACTGACACGTTTGTCTGCCCAAGGAGGAAACAGAAATATTGATATTAGTTCCTCAGATGTTTTTCTGCACTTTAATAAGAGCTGTAAACTTAATTTGCATTTAATTTTATGTTTTTCTGCTAACGGTAAGTCACTTAGAAGAAAGCTAAGGCATTTTCCAAGTTTATTAAAATGCCAGATAATGTTTTGGGATGATTGGCCAGACGAATCTTTGCAACAAGTAGCCGAAATTAGAATAAGTTCAATCGACATAATTCCTGAATACAAAAATAAATCACTGGACACATTCCTTTATTTTCACAGAGATTTTCAACTCATAGCGAAAACTTTAAGAACCCCACTCTACGTCTCGCCATTATGCTTTATACACCTAATTAATATTTTTATAGATATTTACAATAACGAGAAGAATATTATAGAAAACAAAAGAAAAAGATTTTCTCAAGGTCTAGCTAAATTAGCTTATGCTTCAAGCCAAATTTTAGACATGCAAAAGGTTTTAGCAGAATATAAGCCCCAACTGGCAGAAATGACAGCTAAAGCCATAGAAATGACAGAACAAATAGCACTGGAAACAATTGAAGTAGAAAAGGCATCTGAATTAGTCAGACAAGACGAAAAAATTGCAAGCGAACAAGCTATAGTCGCTCAAATTTTAAAATCGGAATGTGAAGCTGAGTTAGCTCAAGCTATTCCGATTCTAGAAGATGCTATTTCAGCCCTAAATACATTAAAACCATCTGATATAACTTTAGTTAAATCAATGAAAAATCCTCCTGATGCTATTAAACTAGTAATGGCAGCTGTTTGCGTCATAAAAGATGTTAAGCCTGATAGAATACCAGATCCTAGTACTGGAAGGAAAACCTACGACTATTGGGGACCGAGCAAAAGAATCCTCGGAGACATGAATTTTCTTCAGTCTCTTAAAGATTTCGATAAAGATAACATAAAACCTGAGATCATGGTCAAAATAAGGAAGGAGTTTCTTCCTCACAAAGATTTTAAACCACATGTAGTGGCTAAAGCGTCTAGCGCTGCAGAAGGTCTTTGCAAATGGATAATTGCAATGGATATGTACGACAAGGTAGCTAAAGAAGTAGCGCCAAAAAAAGAGAAATTAGGAAAAGCTGAGAAAGAATATGCAGATACAATGGCAATTTTAAACGAGAAAAAAGAAGAGGTTAAAAGAATTGAGGAAAAACTGGCAGGACTTAATGCGTTATTAGAAGATGCTAATAAAAAACAAGTGAAATTACAGCTGGAAGTAGATTTTTGTAATAGAAAATTAGCGAGCGCACAAAAGTTAATTGGTAGTTTAGGCGAAGAGCAAATCAGATGGACAAAAGCAGTAGAAAATCTAGAGAAACAGAATGTTCTTGTTTTGGGTAATATTTTATTAACTATAGGCATTGTAACTTATCTTGCACCAATTGACTTCGCTACACGAAGTCATATTACAGACAAGTGGCGCCTTCATATATCAAATTATACTGATTGTTCTAAAAGTTTTAATATATCAGAATCATTTTCCTCCAAATTAAAGATTGGTATGAGAAAACAAGGAGATTTTCTTCGAGACGATTTTTTTCTACAAAATGTTTTAATCTACGATTTTTCCAAATTATTTTCAATCTTTATTGATCCTGATTATCATGCTAGCACCTGGATCAGAAAAATAGAACGCAGAAACAATCTTACAATTACAACATTTTCCAATAAAAACTTTTTAAGTAAATTAACTAACTGTGTTAAATTTGGAAAACCTCTAATGATCCATCAAGTAAAAAATCATATACCTACATATTTGCATCAGTTTATTTCTAAAGATGGATATACGGAGGGTGAAAACGATAACAAAAACACTTTCATCTTTATAAATGGAAAGGCTGTTCTGCTGGATTCTCGGTTTCGTTTATATTTTGTATGCAACATACATCAGCCTAATTTTTTTCTAGAAATATTTAATAGAGTCACAGTTATTAATTTTATTGTAACTTCTGAATATTTAAGAAAGCATTTTTTAAGGATAGTGACACAGATTGAGAAGCCTGAAACGAGAAAGCTAAAAAAAGAAACATACAAAAAAATTAACAATTTTGAAACAGAAATCTTAAAAACGGAAAATGAAATTTTGGAGACACTATGTGAATCGGAAGCTGATATTTTAGAGGACGACGTGTCTATAAGAAGCCTAGAGGAGTACAAGATTGTGTTAAAGACGCTGAGAAATAAACATCAAGACGCTAGATCTGCCGAAAAAACAATACAAGATTTCATGAACCAATATCAGACAGTAGCATCTTTTGTAGCTAATATGTACTTCTGTGTATTCCAATTAAAATCAATTAACCATATCTATCAATTTTCATTCGACTGGTTTGATCATTTGTACTATCAGTCTATAATAAACTCGGAAAAATCGAAACTCGTTAAAAGAAAATGCGAAAATATAAACAAAAATTTTATTTACCAGCTTTTTAAGCAATTAAACTACTCTTTATATGAGAAAGATAAGTTTCTTGTACTTTTATTGGTAACTATTTATGTTTTAAGATATAAAAAGAAAATTACCGAGGAAGAAATTTTAATTTTTCTTAAACAATCAAATTTTGGTACCAACGAAATTACTGGAAATATAATTAATTGGGAAATGGTAAATGAACTTAAACATATTCCGGCATTATCTAATTTTGTCTACGACATTAGAATACATTTTGATTTATGGAAAAAATACATGTCATCAGAAGCAACTTGTACTATACCTGAACCATGGGAGTCAAAGTTGACATCTTTTCAAAAACTTATTTTAGAAAAGTATTTCAAGCCCAAAAACTTACAGCTTGGAATTAAAAATCTTATTAGATCTGAACTAGGATCAAAATTTGTAGAACACTTTCAGTGGACTATTGATGATATATACAACGAGTCTTACAGTCTATCACCTATTTTACACTTACAAACAGAGGGCAATGATTTTAATGAAAATCTTTATATTCTCTTAGAAAAGAAAAAAGTAACTCACACTTTCCGTTCTTTTTGCATAAGTGACCATTCTTCAAGTCCTACAGATTTATTACTGGAAGAAGCACGCGAAAAAGGCTTTTGGTTGCTGTTTCAAAACTGCCATCTCAATAAGCGCTGGCTAGAAGATTTGGAAACAAAACTAGTTCAAATGAATTACGAAAATACCAATGAAAACTTTCGATTGTGGCTTACAGCAGAACCAACAAAAGATATACCGTTAGAATTGTTACAAAATAGTATTAAAGTTGTATATAATTATCCAAGTAGTTTTAAGCAAACTATACAACATTTCATAAACAAAAAATATATTTCAGAATATTTCAGTACTGGTTGTCCAGGAAAACAAGAATTTTTTACAAAATTTCTCTATGGTCTTATTTGTTTTCATAGCGCTCTTATAAAAAGAAGATTTTATGATAATCTCTTTTGGGAACCTTGCTACAATATAAACGAAAATGATCTAAAAATGTCAATAAAGTTGTTGCAATTATCAATCAATGAAGCGCACTTTTCCCACTCAGATATAGAAAAATCGATATTTCTAATAGGAAATTACCAGTATGGAACTCAACTGAATACCATTTATGAATTAAATGTATTTAATAACATATTAAATGGATTTCTAAATTCAGAAATAATGAGAAGTAAAAACTACTTCCTGGGAAATGTCAGGGAATATGGTTTACCAAAGAAATGTGACTATTCTGACTACCTGAAACTTGTTCGAAATCTTCCAGAATTTGATAACTATGAGATTTACGGTATTAGTGAAACCTTAGAGTCTCTATACAGTGACTCATGTTCTAAAACTATAATTCAGGTACTATCAAATACTATTTGCATTAGTGAAGTGGAACAAATTGAACAGAATGACTTTAAAATAATATCTGATGTAGATCGAATGTTAATGTACCTACCTGAACAAATTGTCTTAGTATCGTATTCAGATTATGTTATAGAAAACGAAGTAAAAACATATAATAACATTAACAGAAATTTAAGAGAAACTCTTGTTTTAGTGAAACAAAGCCTGAGTGGATTAAAGCCTTTAACTGTTGAGTTAGAAAATATTTCTCTTCAAATTTTACGAGGAAATGTACCAAACACATGGAAAAAATGGACTTACTTTGGAAATAGTTCTTTATCAGAATTTATCACCAATCTAGTACTGAGAATAAATTATTTTAAAAACCTTACACATAATAACACTTATTGGTTAGCTGCTTTTTTATACCCGAAAGCCCTATTTTGCAAAATTAAGTTAAATTTTTCATTAAAATATTTAATACCAGTAGAACGCCTTTGTTTAAATTTTGGGTTATTAAGGGATTGCGAAAATTCTACAGAGGGAATTAAAATAACCGGCCTTTCCGTAATAAATGCGGAATGGGATGCTGAAGATCAATGCTTCTATGAAATTTCATCGAAGTTTTACAATTCGTTTTCTTCTATTTTACTAACGCCTAATAATAATGACAAATCGTCGAAAATATCTAAATTATATGAGCTTCCTTTATATCAAATGAGCGACATGAAACTCTTTATATGTTGTATTAAGTTACAATTCCTGCAGAGATACAAACATTGGCTCAAACGAGGTGTTAGAATAGTATCGCATGTGTGTTTAACAGAGGCAGATTCGGCAAACAACATTAAGATTAAAAATGTTGCTCTTGAAACTCAATACATGTAACCTATAATTGTTTTCTAATGTATTTTTGTACGCCTTTATAAATTTTAATTACCAACTAAAATCTTGGAGCTTCATGTTGTAGCGTTTTCATTTTTCTGGTGCGCTTAAATTTTGGTTGCGCTGTACCACGATATACAGACTATACTATTTCCTAGATTGTTTTTATTGCGTCTTGTCTAACTACGCCGCATTTTCAGTTCCTCTATTATTAATTTAGTCTGTGTTTAATCTATGTTAAGAGTACTGTTAAAAATGTTTATATTAACATTTAGTTTTAAGGTGTCTGGCTTTGGGGTCTAAATAATACGCAGATGCCAAGAGTTGAACCATATAACTGTGATACTGCCAACATTCACCATCCCGTCTGGCAGGCGTGGTGTTTTAATGCCAATATACCACTTCAAACCGGGATGTCAGATTTTAAAACAAATACAAATTTACCCCAGAGTAGGATGCGTCTAAAATCTCACACTGATTTATCAGTCTGTCCCAAGGATTCTGGAGGGGAACAAAAAGCTGACTATACGGAATCCCAAAAATCTCGTAACTCTTTACGTTAGTACATACAATGCCAGGAGAGATTCATGGAAATTAAAACTGAAATAAATATCAACTCAAAATTATCAAAGTATACGATCCAACAACGGACTATACAGACGAAGAAATCGAAATATTTTATGACGATATATCTACGACGCTTAGTGACTCTCGTACTCAATTTACAATTTTATGTGGCGATTTCAACGCCAAAATAGGTGTAAAAGAAGCAGAGCTAGAAACATTCTTGGGAAAATTGGGTTTCCTAGGAAGAAAGGACCGAGGGGAAACCCTACTAGGATTCCTACTCCAGAATAATTTATTCAACATGAGCATCTTCTTTTACAAACAGATGAACAGAAGATGGGCCTGGGAATATCCAAACGGTAGAACAAGGAAAACGAAATCGACTGCATCATAAGTGACAAAAAAGCAATAATTAATGAATAATACGAGCGAAAGTTCAAATCAATACGAAAAGAGAAAAAATCATAATGATTTAAAAGTAAATATCATGGTATCTGGACACCTCCATTAGATATTAACCAATATCAGGCACATATCAATAATAAGCTACTACTGCATGAAACCTCGGATAACGATCTTAACGACTTAAAGAATTGCATAGAAACCCCTTACTAGATAGTCACAGAGGGCACTGTCCTAAAAGAAAATCAGATAGTAAAATAAGTCCATATACTGAAACGCTGCTAGATAAAAGAAGACAAATGAGAAGTGATAAGGATGCAGACAGCTACACTCTAAGTGAAATCAATAAAATTGTTTCGAAGGCAATCAGGAGAGAAATTTAAAACTGATAATATTAAACGTACTATACAAGAAAATAACAGCCTAAAATTTCTAAGTAAAAGCTAACGAATGGGAAATGCGAAATTCAGAAATTAAGAAACAAGCAAAATGAAATAATATCACGTAGAGACGAGTTAATACACGTCGTCGAAGAGTTTTACGAGAAATTATATGGAAGTAGATGAGAAGATCAAACAGGAATACAAACAGCCATTTCGAAGAAGGTCATGAACCAAGGTTCCGAACTAATGCCAGAAATAAAGGTAGACGAGATTTGACAAGCGTTAAAATTAGAATTCTACCAACCGAGAGAGCAGGCAGGATTCAGATCAAATTATGGTACCAATGATCATCTCCATGAGTAAAGACGCTCATTAAAAAATCTATAGAATACAACAAACCTCTTGTCCTCACTTTTATAGATTTTTATAAAGCGTTCGACACGATAGAAATAGACAGCCTTATCTAAGCAATGAATGACAGCAGGATTGACCATAGGTATAGTGAACTTATTTATAATATTTACAAAAATGCCACTATGACTGTTAAGATACACGATAAAACATGACCAATATAAATAAAACGTATGATAAGGCAAGGAGATACATTGTCGAGTATGCCTTTAAGATGGTCAATTGGAACAACAGAGGAGTAACAATAGACGGCGAAAAACTTAACCATCTCCGTTTCGCAGATGTTATGTCCTTATCACAGATAATTTAGGAGAAGCTATGTTAAATGAATTGGACTTTGCATGTTCGAAGGTGGGCCTCAGAATAAACTTGACCAAAACTAAGTTTATGACATTTAACTATGTAAAACAAAGGGGTAGAACTGGTTAGGTCATTAAATAAGAATCAGCTACCAAAATCAAGAGAAAGTCACCGAAACTACTATTCTGTTGCCTCTTCAAAATGAAATATTTAAATAATATGATGTGTTCTGTTGGACTAGAAACCTCAAATTATTATAGTGGTGACAACTTTAGCATGGTTCTGATTAATATTCGTTCTATAAGATATAAAACAGATAAATTATTTTTTATTCTAGAGGAATTATAATTTCCCCCTATAGTTGCGGTTACCGAACACTGGCTTGAAGTTAAAGAGCCTTTTTTGTGGAAAAATATATAACAATTGCTGGGTATGATCGTCCAAGTTCAGCTCATGGTAGCACCCTAATTCTTTCTAAAAATAATGATTTCCCTCCTATAACAAAATTTGACTTTTTGTTGTTTGAATATTTTTTTGAGTTGTTATTGGTTTATAACAAGAATCTTAATCTATACATTCATTGTATTTATAGAACACCTGACTCTTCCACGGAACTAGTTTTTCAGAACCTGTAGACGATCTGCTCAATAAAAGCACAAAGATTCTATGCGGTGACTTGAATATTAATTACGCTATTTCTTGTACTACTTAAGTATATATATATATATATATATATATATATATATATATATATATATATATATATATATATATATATTTAGACGGTGCGCCCTTCCGGTAGGGATCTATGGAGGAGTAATCACCGAGCCGCAAGTCCTGATCTCTTGCCGTACTGCTCCACCATAGGCCGATCACACACCAGCATATTCTAGTCTAAGCCGCAGATTCATCTAGAATTTCAAACTGCTGCGTTAGCCTTTTTGTTTTCTGTACACCGAGCTGGGGATCGAACCTACATCCACTGAAAACTCGCAGTGAAGCGAATGAGAAACCGGCCGCTCAGCCCGCTTGGCTAATGGACCGACTACTCAAGTATCCTTGGTCAATATATTCACATCGTATGGTTTCACAATGCACGTTAATTCTCCTACAAGAATCACTAAAACAACATCTACCATAATAATTGATTATATTGTCTCAGATTTCTTACCCCTTGATGTATATTCTACAATTATTAATGCAGGACTCTCTAACCATGAAGCAGGATATACCAATTTTAATACTCTTAACAAACAATCCTCAAAAATCCAACTTTTATAAAGGATTTTGTTAGCTCAAAACTTTCGTAAATTCCAAAGTGTGTGCTTGACTTCTGGGTGGTACTTTCCCTCTGTGGACGTGGACTATACTTTCAGTGATTTTTTAGATAAGCTTGTCTGTATTTTCAATAAGGCATTTCCTTTAATTACAATTAATTTAAAATATCACAAACCCTGGACTACCAAGGGTGTCCGCATATCAGCCAAGAATATGCCTTCACTACTGTACATCTAGAAATTTACTACCAATGTCTTTGTCACTGAATATCTCTCAAGTACAGAGGAACCTATCTAAAACTTATCAAAACAACTAAAAAATGTACTGTGAGAATCGTCTGGGAAGCTCTAAAAATGTTGCAAGGGAACTTGGTCCATAAACGATCTTCGAAATAAAACTAACACAGCTCAAGCATTTTCTCTTCCAAACCCTGATAATCCAAATAAATACTTTGTTAATGTAAGTAAAAATATAACATCAGCTATTTTACCACAACAAGACCCTATTTTCTATCTTCCCAATTCAAAACAGGTCTCGAATTCAATATGTATAAGACTAGTTGTTAAATCTGATCTGATCCAAATAATCAGTAGTATCAAAAGCTAATTTTCCTGTAGTACTGATGGACTATCCATAAAATTTTTTTAAATCTCCCAAATAATGTGTAGGAAGTCCTGGTCTCACTAATTAACGATTTCTTTGAAAAAGATATATTTTCAGAGTGCCTAAAGACAGCTATTATTATTCATCTTCATAAGGGTTGTGATAAATCTAATGTCTGCAACTATAGACCTATTGTCTTACTACCGGTCCTGTCCAAAATTATTGAGAGACATAAAAGCCCGACTTATGTCCTTTCTCCTTGAAAACAACATTTTATTATAAAGTCAGTTCGGTCTTTTATCTAATAAATGTACCAGCGACACTATGTTTGTTGTACTACACGATGTGTATCAAGCACTAAATAATAATCTTTATACTGCAACTGTGTTTTGTCACTATTGCAAAACTTTTGATTGTGTAAATCACGACATTTTGATAAAAAACTAAATTTTTACGGAATTCGAAGTATTTCTTTGAATTGGTTCCAATCATCCTTGAGGAATAGGAAACAACTAGTTAGAGCCAATGATACTGACTCTAGTCACGAAAGCATTGTATGTGGTGTACCATAAAGTTCAATACTGGTTCCTCTACTTTTCCTTATCTTTATAAATGACATCACTAACTTAAAAATCGATGGAAATTTTTTTTCTTTTTGCTGATGATGCACATGCATTTGCTGATGATTAACATAAGTTAACATAAGTAGATAATACAGTAGCATTATCCTATAAAGAAGCTCTTCAACCCTTGCTTCTTAATAACGGCCAGATCAGTATAATTGATTCTGTAAAATTTCTTGGTATTTTTATAGACAGCAACCTTGAATGGTTCGTTCATAATGATTTGTTAAGTAAGAAACTTGCCTCGCCCGGCTACGCAATAATATCTGTTTCGAAGGAAATGAATTTAGCATCTTCCAAAATAACATACTTTTCTTTGTTCGAATCTCATCTTCGATATGGCCTTACTTTTTGGGGTTCTAGTACAGCTGCCCAATCTGATGTTATTTTTAAATTACAAAAAAGAGCAATACGGTGTCTTTTTGGCCTCAGTAGA